CTAACTTTGTATTTTTAGTACAGACAGGTTTTCTCTATATTGGTCAGGCTAGTCACGAACTCCCCACCTCAGGTGATCCGCCCGCCTTGTCTCCCAAAGTGCTGGGATTACAGGCCTGAGCCACCGTGCCCGGCCTCAAATGCAACTTTCAGGGGACACAATTCAACCCAGGACATGGGGGCCCACCTGCAGATGCCCCGTTGGTCCTGTCCATCCTCCCCAGGCCCCTCAGGACTCTGTACCAACAGATCTGCCCCTGCTGTGCACAGCCCTCCCTCCCTGAGTCCTCCCCAGGGAGGAGCCCCCCGCCTCTGTCTCCACTCCTCCCGCAGCTGTTTTCTGGGGCCTCCTCAGCACTCACTCTGCCCACCGCTGCCCGGGGCCTTTCCCTCCAGCCCTGCACCTGTGCCCCGAACTGCCTCTGGTCACAGGCACCAGCCTCCCTCCCAGGCCAACCCCCAGGCCCACTCTCCTCCCTGGGTCTGGTAGCCTCTCCTGTGGCCTGGACCCGCCCAACACAGTGGCTCTGCAGCCCCCAGCCCAGATGTCCTGGATGTCCCCCAGCAGGGGCCAGAGCCCCTCCTCCCTGGCAAAGGATCCCTCGCTCGTTCCCATGGCCCCACTGCAAGGCCTTCCCAGACACTGTGTGTGCAGGGCCCTCCTGGAAGCTGGCACTGCAGGACCCCTTCCTCAGGGGCTGCTCGCTCAGCCCACACCCACTGAGGCCAATCCCTTCATGCATCGCAAGACTGACCTTCCTACTACGAAAAGCCTCATTGTGTCCCAAGCCCTGGCCTGCAAGAAAGGAGGGAGGGAGCTTGTGCCCTTGCGCGTGCCGGTCACCGCTTCCCAATGGGTCCTTTGCCAGGCTCCCAACCTGCTGTGCCACTGAGGCTCAGCCTGGCCGTGCCTTCCATGCACTAAGATCAGCCCCACCAGTCCCCAGAAAGCTGCTCGGCCTCCAAGCCCTGCGTGGAATGCCCCCCACTCCATCCTTGCAGGTGTCAGCCTCAACCATGCCAGG